CAATACCTCTTCTTTTATATGACATTATGTCCGCTAGTCAATACAGTATCTTCATATTTCGCTGCAGTCAACTCAGACAATGCTTGAAGCACGTCGAGGAAGATTGGCAGAATGTTCTCAGCATAGATGCGCGGAACATTATGCTGAAATCTGCAAAAACGGGAAAGCGTTTAGTTTCAATCTGCGGATTCTTCATGTATAGTGGTGTCTTTACCTTTCGAACAATCCTGCCATTGTCCCAGAAAAAAATTGTTACCGATCAGAATATCACGATAAGACCTTTACCTTGTCCAATTTACCTTTTCTCTCTCGATGTGCAAATTAGTCCTATTTATGAAATACTTTTTGTAATCCAGTGCATAACAGGATTCGTTATGGTATCAATCGTGACATGTGCATGTGGCTTTACAGCAATTTTTGTAGTACACGCTTGCGGCCAACTAAAAATTTTAATTAACATGATGAAAAGTCTCGTGCAAAAGCAATGGCAAGAGGAACATGAAGTTGATAAAAAGTTAGCTGAGATAGTCGAGCATCAAGTAAGAGTGCGTAGGTAAGTTTCACGATTTGCAAAAGTCATTTATCCTAATTAGTGATTCATAATATAAATTTCATGTGCCCAATCTAGACCAAAGGATGGATCCTACTTGTAGCTCATTCGAGTGAATAGTTTGACGAGTAAAAATTATACTAAAATTGGCTTTCAATCCAAATAATTTTTTTTAATTAAATAAAAAAATGATTATATTTGATATGGTCTAGACAGGGCAATATTAATGTGTATTTCTTGATAACAAATTTGTTATTCAATGATTATTAACAATTTTTTATTTCTTTGTTTCAATATTTATATTTTTAGTTTATATTGTATTGATTTGACACCATTAGAAATTGCGCATTTCAGTTTTTTACGATTGGTGCAGCATACTCTGCAAGAAATATATTTGATAGAAGTTATGGTAAACACGATAACTATTTGCCTTTTGGTGTATTTCCTGTTAGTGGTTCGTAAGTTCCCTAATTAATTTTAATAAAAAAAGAAATTTAATATTCGGTATATGTTAATTAAAAAATTACGGATTGAGTAATTACTTGTACCTGATATAAATTTTCAGTTTTATATAATAATGTAAATTTTGCTAACAAAAAGTAATTAGAGTATAAAACTAAGTAACAATAATTATTACATAAAAAATATATATATTTATAGGACTTGCAAAATAGCAATATAGGAATTTTAGGCACCTATTTGTTAAGTATTGCAAATGTGATAATTCACATATTTTTATTTTGTTATACTGGTGAACAGCTTACCACTCAGGTACGTTTTGCAAATACTGACAATTTATCTTTAAAACAATAAAATCTTTACAACAATAAAAATATGTCTAGCAATATAAAATACGCATTTTGCATAATTCACAATTAGCATGATTAATTTTGATTAAAGTTGTATTTTATTTTTTGGAAATTCTATTTTGTAGAAAGTTATTGTTATTTTATAGCAAAGACAATATTTGTTTTATAAAAGAATGTAGAAAATGTATATTACACTATTTTTGAAATAGCAAATAAACTTTTGATGTAAATAAATTTTGTGGCTATTGCTATGTCTGATAAATCAAGAATAGGCGGAAAAGGTAGCCGTTGCATCCTGCGAGCTTGAATGGTATCGTCTTCCGGACAAAAAAGCACGCAGCATTGTATTACTGATGATAATGTCCAACACATCGACTAAGATCTCTGCTGGAAAATTCGTCGATCTGTCATTAAAAACGTTTGGTGATGTAAGTAAATGCATTTTTATCCAAATTAATATACAAGTCTGCTAAACTTTAAAATTTTACATGAATTGTAACTTCCTTTACATCGCGCTAATTATAGCGATAAATAATAAATGTCAATGTTTATTGATAATTTTAGTAATTTCTAACTGAAATCTTAATTTATAGAACGTATATTATATGTATATTCATATACATATATTCATTTTAAATATATTTATTATTTACAATCACAATAATTATAATTTTTTATTGAAAATAAACTAAAATAATTAGCAATTTTAAATATATTTTAGATTATGAAAACTGCTGGGGCATATTTTAATATGCTTCGAAATGTAGTCGAATAAATGTTTAATTTTTAATAATGAAAAATAAACGTAAACTGTATATATGAAATATTTATTGACGTATTGTGTGCACCTCCCAACATTATATTCAGGCCAAATACTTTATGCAATGTAAATATAAATACATGTAACGTAAAATATATATTTTTTTATTAAATAATCCATATTATAATATGATTATTGCTGCATAGTTTTACTTATATACCAAAAATGAGTGATTTAAATGATTTGCTTTTTGAAAATATTAAGTAATTGTTTAAGTAAACTAGAATATTTGACATAATAAAACTAAAACTGTTATTTCTTTATTCAAATTGTGATTTCTATTATAGTAATGGCACAAGTTGCGATGTAGGAAGACACAAAAGTAACAAAGTCATTTTCCTACTTACTACAAAGAACATCAAATGCACTTGCGGATAAGAATACTTTCCATAAAAAACAATCGCGTCCCTCGATGAGAAAAACTTTACTTGAAAACTTTACTATCATGATCTCTTTACATCATGCAACATTTGCATTTATAACACGCGCAAGCGCAAGCGAGTTCTAAGTTTACTTCACGGTCAGTTTTCCTCTTCAGCGATCAGTCGCGACTGGACTCGCGTCTAGATTCCGCATTACTTAGAGAAAACGACATATCGAATGAAGCCGAAGAATATCGTAAAGCATTGCGTGAAATTGATAGAAAAATGTCATATAAGAAAGATTGCCAGCGCGACATTGTATACATCACACAACCAACTAGCAACATTATGCGAGTGCTCGGTGCCTGGCCGTCCATTAATAAAGAATACTTTATAGACAAAAGAATTTATAAATTCTTTTTAATTTCTATCTCTTATATTCTTCTTTCTTGTGATTTAATTCCCGCTATTCTTTTTTGGATAATGGAAAAAACCACGCATGCTCGACTTCAAATGATCCCTGTTCTTCTTTATAATTTTATGGTTGCCGGTCAATATGCCATTTTTATATTTCGCGACAATCAGATCAAACGGTGTTTAAAACACATCGAAGAGGATTGGAAGAACGTTATCAACGCGAACGCACGAAGCATGATGCTAACATCCGCGAAGACCGGCAGACGCCTAGTCATGTTCTGTGGAATTCTTATGTACGGTGGTGCCTTCACCTTTCGAACGATACTACCGTTGTCTCAGGGAAAAATCGTCACCGATCAGAACATCACAATCAGACTTTTAGCGTGTCCTGGTTATTATTTCTCAATTGACGTGCAACTCAGTCCCACCTATGAAATACTTTTTGTCATCCAATTATTGTCTGGATTAGTTTCAGCTTCGATTGCGACAGGTACGTGCGGCTTCACGGCCATTTTTGTAGTGCACGCTTGCGGCCAGCTGAAGATTCTGATGGATTTAATGAGAAATCTTGTCAAAAAGAAGTGGCAAGCAGGATACGAAGTGGATAAAAAGCTAGCAGATATAGTCGAACATCAAATAAGAATACGCAGGTAAGTTTGTGATTTGTGCGCGTCTATTAATATCGATCTTTACTTAGTTTTTAATTTTACAATAAAAATATTTGATTTTTCTGTTGCGGCTAATAGTTTTTACTTCTTACACATCAGTTAATAAAGCACATTTCAGTTTTCTGCGTTTGGTACAGCATACTCTGCACCAAGTGTGTTTGATGGAAATAATGACGAATACGATAACCATTTGCGTTATGGTATATTTAATGATGATGGTTTGTAAGTTTGTGAATTGCTTCTAATTAGAAAACAGATCACGTATACAAGAAGAATTAAAAACTCTAATAAAAATTTAATAACGATTAGATATATATAATTCCTTAATTTAAATAACTTAAAATTTAGAGAGAATAAAGTTTTACAAAGCCATTAAAAATATATACAATCAGTTAAAAAATAATATCAATTATGTATATAGATAATGTATTTATAGGAATGGCAAAATAATAACACTGCAGGTGTATGCACTTATTTGTTATGCGTTACAAACGTGACGATTCATATATTTATGTTTTGTTACACTGGTGAACAGCTTACCGTACAGGTATGATTTACATTAAAATCTTCGATATTTGTGATAGACAATGATTTTTGAATGAGATGTAAATTATTATTCCACAAAACGTATAATTTGCTTTAGAAATAAATGTGCACTCTCAATATTTTCCAGAACATTAAAAATAAATTATATATTTTACAAAAAGATAAAAGTAACTCGCACTATCTTCGAAATAGCAAAGAAAAATTAGGTGGAATTAAAACATGTAATATATTGCTACGTTGTGCGATAATATTGATAACAGGCAGAAGAAGTAGCTACTGCATCCAGCGAACTCGAGTGGTATCGTCTTCCGGACAAGAAAGCACGCAGTGTTGTATTGCTGATGATTATGTCTAATACGCCGACCAAGATCTCCGCTGGAAAGCTCATCGATTTGTCACTTATGACATTTGGTCAAGTAAGATTGATAATTTCAAGTGCACTTATTTATCCGTGTCAAAAACTACATTTTACCTATAAAACACGTTTCTTAAAATTTTCTTATGATTTTTTTTTGCTGAGTTACACAACTTTGAACTTAGACAACTGTATTTTTTACGTTAATGCTATTTTTCTCAAAATGTAGGGTTGATTTCAAATTACATAATTTGACACTTGTCATAAATTTTGCAATAAAAATTTTTTTATTGAGCTACAAAATGTTCAAAGTACATAATTTTAAGAATAAAACAATGTAGTTTTTTTCAGCTCAGAATTGTAAAAATAGAAAAATTTTTACAAACAACTAAAAACACGCGAAAGTACAAACTTCAAACTTTAAAATGCTTTTTTATATTTTTTGTTTACGATGATTTTTTGTCGAGTTACAACGGTTTGAAAATTATTAATTTTTGAGTCTCTGAACATCTCGAAGTGACAGAACAGTGCGGCCGATTTGATTGAGTGCGCGCTATTATACGTATGCCACCCTACATTTTTTCTGTGAAAAATTTATCATCAGCAATAGTATTAGTGTAAAAATACAGATTTAACTTCAGTTGTGTAACTCAGTCAAATGAAATCGTAGGAAAATTAAAAAAAAAAACGTGTGTTGGATAAAATGTAGTTTTTAACATTTATCATAAATTTTGCGAGAAAAATTTTTTTATCGAACTACAAAGTCTCGACGAAAAATCATCGTAAACAAAAAATATAAAAAAGCATTTTAAAGTTTGAAGTTTGTACTTTCGCGTGTTTTTAGTTGTTTGTAAAAATTTTTTAAACATATATAATTTTAAGAACAAAACAATATGTTCTTTCTTGTAAAAATAAAAAATTTTTAAATTTTCTAAAGCTCATAAAAGTACAAACTTTAAGTTTTAAAATACTTTTTTAATTTCTTGTCTGCGATGATTTTTTATGAAGTAATGCATAAGAAATATATATTAATGATATATAATATAATTATATATATAATTGTTTATTTTTTAAATTATTCTTGTTAATCTCTGAATAATATTTATATTAATATTTATATTTTTTGTAAATCTTTGAATAATATTTCATATTTTCGAAATGAAAATATAAATGAATATAGTGAATATCTCAGTTATAATTGTATTTCAAGAATAAATCTAAATGATAAGCGAATAAATATTATGTTTTAGGTCATGAAAACAGCTGGTGCATATCTTAATATGCTTCGAAGTATAACTGAGTAAATAATTAAATTTTAATTGTTAAAGTAATCACGTAGATTATACATACTTGTTGGTAAAATTATATTTTAAAAAGTAATCTTGTATATATCCATGAAAGCTTGAAAGATGTGAGAAAATATATTGAATCTATATAAATTTCCATGCACAAAACACACACAGACACATACACGTGCGCGCGCACACATATAAATTATATATATATATATATATATATATATATATATATAAAATTTAATTTGGCTCGCATAATATGCGTTATATTATATTTTTAGAATTTTAGAAATATCTTGATATTATAGTTATTATTGGCTAACGTTGTGATTGTGCATGCTATGAGACAGAAAAAAAAGTTATACATAACTTTCTTGCTACACAAGGTAGTGAAGGTTGGCGAATAAAAATACAGTTCATAGAAAGCAGTCTGCTAACCATTGTTGATTCACTTTACTTTCAAACTTTTTCAATGTTTGAACAAGAATTCTAAACGCGCGTTATTACCTATTCGTTTGACGTGACTTGTCAATATCATTCGGAACGCAAGCGCATTTACGTACCGAGTTATGTTTAGGGCGATCCAAGCTTGCTACGATCAGTGATGAAGAAACACGCATCTTGTCGTTACATGTGTCTTATCACGCACATGTCATTTCATTCTGCACGATAAAGTCATAACGTCTTGTTTGTAAAAGTACATGATACAATTTATTTAAAAATGTTGGCAAACAAAAATTATGAGAACGATATAAAATATACCATGCAATTAAATCGTTTTGTTTTTCGTCTGTTGGGTATTTGGCCTTACATGGAGACAGAGCCCTCATTTTTCGAAAATATCCAAAACATCTTGCTGATATTGGGCTGCTACTTTCTCCTCTGCTGCGAATTAATTCCAACGATCCTGTACATAATTATTATAGAAAAACGAACTCGTGTCAGATTGAAACTTATATCGTCTGTAATGTTCACAATATTAGCTGTTCTGAAGTATAGCAACCTAGTGTTTAGCAAGAACCAAGTGAGAAACTGCTTGATGCAAGTGAGAAACGACTGGCGAAACGTCGCAAGCGCGAGCGCTCGTCACTCCATGATTGACAAAGCCAGAACTGCAAGGCAGTTACTGATCCTGTGTGGTATATTTATGTATTCCTCCGGATTGTATTTCCGTACAGTTGTGCCACTGAGCAAGGGAAAGTTCGTCACCGATCAGAACATTACGATCAGATTTTTGCCATGCCCGAGTTACTTTGTTCTTTTCGACGGACGTATTAGTCCCGCATACGAAATCATGTTCTGTATACAGTTCTTCTCTGGATTTATAAAGTATACTATTACGGTGGCGATCTGCAGTCTGGCCGCTCTCTGCGTTATGCACATATGCGCGCAGTTAGAAATACTGAAGGCGTTGATGAACAATTTAGTGAACGAGTCTGAAGTCAAGAATTTGGACAAGAGACTGGCCGTGACCGTGGAATACCAGATCAGGATGCGAAAGTGAGTTTTAACGTATCTACTTGATGTCAATTATATTTAAATGTATTTCTCTTTTGTGTTAGTTTTTATATTTATTAAGATAAATATTTTTGACGTTTGCAGAATCAATCAAAATTTACATAAAATTGATACATTATGTTAACATGTTTTATGTAATTTTTTATCAGCATATTCTACTTATATACGTTAGGTAAAAAATTTTCCAGTAAAAAATCTATATTTTACGCGCGTCCCTTTATAGTTTCTTACAATTGGTGCAGAACACTTTGGAATATACGAGTCTGTTAGAAGTGATGGGATGTACGATAATTGTATGTCTTTTAGGACATGATATTCTCACGGTGCGTTTCAACAATTATACAATAATTGAATAATTCGCGCGATTTTAACGTTGAAAAAATCCTGCTGTGTTATATTTTATTCGCATACAATATGTAAAATTTGTGCATTTAACTGTCGAAATTATAGGAGTGGGAAGATCAAAATGTTGTAGCTATGGGCTCGTATCTCGTCCTACTCACGTCAATTGGATTTAATATTTTTATCTTTTGTTTTATCGGCGAGCAACTTTCCCTAGAGGTACGATTATTATTGTAAATTTATTGTAGAGAATACGATTAACGTGTTTGACAGACAGTGAGATAGGAAATATGTTGGATGTTTTCCTTTCAATTTCTATTTTGATGCATATGATGACTTCTTGATGAAACTAGGCGGAGAAATTGTCATTAACTGTGTGCACATTGGCCTGGTACCGTCTTCCGGATGCGAAAGCACGAGCACTGACCTTGGTCATAGCCATGTCGAATATTCCGACAAAACTTAGAGCTGGGAAGTTTATCGATCTTTCTATCAGAACCTTCGGCGATGTAAGTAATGTGTTTACTATAAAAGGAAAATTAATCAAAATTTATTATCTTCTAGGTTGTTAAGACGGCCGTAACGTATTTTAATCTTATTCGAAAAGTTATGGAATAAATCACTCAACGTTCTATGTAAAAAGATTCGATTTGCATATTTCCATGTAGGAGTAGAATTGTAGCGTCACTCAAGTAGAGATATCAATTATTTAATAAAAATATTAAAATACAAAATGTTACATAATACATTTTTCTTTTATTATAAGCACTTACTCTGAGAAAAGATATTTGGGTGCATATTTTTCTCTCAATTTCTCACAGATGAAATAGATATTGAACACGGAATGATCAGCGCACCGTCGTGAAACGATCAATATCTGCGATATTTCTCTCCGCTGGGTTTGCTATTTTTTTCTCTATTTTCTTGTGTTTAATACTTTGTGAACTTTCCCGCGATGTTCCCTTCCTCGAACATAATACACAACTTTTGCGCGATTTGCTGGAGGAAAGGAAGGTAAAGTTTACAATTGTTTTAACTGCAGATCCCTCTCCTCTTCCGCTCTCATAGAAAACGCAAGCGCGCTGCCGCTTTATAATAATACGTCGATCAGTTTCTCAGTAGCAACGTCAGAGTCAAGTAGATCCAGTCATGCACGCAAATACTTTCTATCGCGATGACATCAGACGCACTGTGCACGTGACGCGCGGTGTTCTGAACCTGATCGGCGTATGGCCGTCGCGCGACGATTCGTCCGCTCTGAAAATCGTCCGGACAAAAATGCTGCGAGTCTTGTGCCAGGTCCTGCTCTATTTCATTTTCGTGCCGGGCGTGCTGAAAATATTTCTCAAGGAATCAAACGCGCGCCGTCGCTTCAAGATGGTCGGCCCCATGTGCAACAGCCTGATAGCCATCCTAAAACACATGGTGCTGATTTACCGAGATGACCGAATTAAAGATTGCATTAGGCACATTGAAGAGGACTGGGAAAAGGTGAACCCGGCGGAGGACCGTAAGATCATGATGAACAACTCAAGGATTGGACGCAGTCTGGCGATTCTTTGCATAGCCTTTGTGTACGGGAGCGGATTCTCGTATCGCACGATCGTGCCGTTATTACGCGGGGTCGTCGTCACTTCGCAAAACGTGACGATTAGACCGTTGGGAATCGCCGGTTATTACGTATTCATTGATCCGCAGAAGACGCCGGCTTACGAGATCATCTTTACCATGCAATTTCTCTCCGGATTCGTGCAGTACTCGATAACAAGTGGAGCCTGCAGCCTGGCGGCTCTATTGGTGCTGCACGCCTGCAGTCAATTGAAAATTCTCATTGCCAGGATGGAGGATCTTACAAAGACGGAGCACTTTTCCGCTAAAATTGCCAACCAAAAATTGGCGGCTATCGTAAAGCAACATATCAGGATTAAGAGGTAACACTGCACACCATTGCGGTTGATGTTGTGCCGATTGATCGAAATTTTTGCAATGTGCAGTTTCGTAATTGTAAAGATTAATGAAATTAAGGTATTTTTATTAATGTCATCTAGCTTTTTAAACAAGGTAGAGGAAATTTTTCAATACACGTGTCTGGTGGAGGTGATCGGGTGCACTTTTATCTTGTGTCTTCTTGGATATTATATAATACTGGTACGCGAGATCATTATTTTAAACAAATATATAATGCAAATAAAAAATACGGCTAATAATGCGAAAGATATCTTTTGCACGCGTTTTATAGGAATGGAAAGATAACAATGCGGTGTCTATGTTAACGTATTCTATACTTCTTCTAACATTCGCTTTCAACATTTTTATATTCTGTTTCATCGGTGAGCTTCTCACAGATCAGGTATTAATCAATAACTTATTAATCAATAAGAATAACAGGATCGTTGATCCATTATTACACGATTGTAGAATATGAAGATGTACATTACTTCTTGTACTCTTGATTGGTACTACATACCTCACAAAACTGCTCGCGGTCTCATTTTAATGATCGCGGTGTCTAGTATTCCTATTAAAATCACCGCAGGAAAATTTATGGATCTATCTCTTAACAGCTTCGGTGCTGTAAGTGTTCTTATTTCGCATTTTTTTGTACATTTACTTCTAAAACTTTTATCCTTTAATTATTCGAATATTGAATTGTCAACAAAGATGCAATTATATGTCTTTTTTAGATTGTGCGGACATCAGTGGCTTATTTAAATATATTACGCACAACCAGTATTTAAAGTTGTAGTTAATTAAACAAAAGAAGTAAACTTTAAAAATTGTAGAAAATTTCAGATAAAATCTACGAATTATTGCTGAATGTAAATAGCATTGTTTCTGTAGCATAAATTAATCACGGTGGTTTTTATATTTTTTTATGTTTCTATAGAAATTAAATGTAAATTTATATTTAAAGTTACATAATTTCTTATACTTATACTACTAGAATACAAGCGCACGTATAACGCGCGCTATTTAACCTTTGATTTAACCTTTGATTAGTACAAAAAATACAATATACTAATACATATCATAATTTTTATCATATTTAAAATTGTACCTTTCTTGACATGCACAGATCACAATAAAGTTCTACGCACGAAAATGCATCTATTAATATTCAATAATAAGAAATTAATTATAAAATTCACGGGAATCTTCTTACACGAAAATATATTGCAGTCGGAAACGCGTTAGTACGAAAGAAGAATCAAATTGACCGAAAACATTTAAATATTGAAGAAATTTAGACAGACATTCAGGATAAATAGATTACCGAGTAAAAAAGGACCTTGATAAATAGATTACCAAGGTCAAGTAACAAATCGAGCCGAAAAGGAGAATGACATTATCGAAATGACATTATCAAAATGACATTATCGAAAGGACTCAGAGACATGAGTCAGCTATTTCTGACCTGTCAATACAGCGAAGAAGGATATGGAGAAGCGGATTTCGGGGAAAAGAGTCGTAAGACAAACTGGAAAGGAGAATCAGACGGTCGCGATAATGAGAAGAAAGAAAAAGCAGTAGCTTGCGAGAAGTTAGAAGACTTGTAAAATCGGCGTTAGAATGTAGACTGTTTCTTCGGTTAAAGTTCGGTCGTTGTCTTCCGTTTCGGTTATTATACGTGTGATTTAATAATAAATCCTGATAGCTATAAGACTTTTATAAATTATGCATTTTACAAATTATTTATTACGAACTTTTTACGAAACATTTTTCTCCTTCTCGTTATGTTATGTGTCTTACGAATTTTACGTTTATATCGTTTTTTTTCTCCTACAATATGTATTAATATTCGGCATTCAAAATCAATTAACCAAAATAAGAAATATAACAGACTACTAACCTTCTCAAAATATAAGCAGTAAAAATACGCAATCCTTGCGTTGACAATCGCTTGTTAGAACGAAGTAACGCACAATACGCATCAAGATAAACAGTTTGCATCGCGAAAAAAATCTAACATACCTTTTTTAAAAATAGACTGTAATTGTTTGCAATTTGTAATTAAACAAAACTTTTATATCAGCACAATAAGCTTCTTAATTATGTAGAATAAATTATAATGATTAACAATGAAACGATAGAGGATTTCGAGCCGACGCAAGTTGTTTATTGCTAATTACATTCTTCATTATCGTTGATATAAAATAAAGAGAGTTCTTCATTATTCTTAACATAAAAATAGCCAGACGTTTCGATCAATATTTGACCATCTTCAGTAAATTTAATGATAGTTGTCCTAGTATATTACTCGATTGAGGTCACTGTTACTGAAGATCGTCAAATATTGAACGAAACGTTTATCTATTTTCTGTTAAGAATAATGATAAATATTAACTATTTAATGTCAATAATTACCTCCGTCTTTCTTATGTAATATAATATAATACACGCCATAAAACACATACACCTGGAATTACTCTTTTATATTGGAAGTTAAACCTATAGAATCGTATCACGTATTGTGTACGCTTAACATTTTTTTCTTTTGTAAATATTGCCTTTATCCTGTAATTTGGCACGCTTAATTTCCAACCCTTTCATGTACCCTGTTATTACGTGTGACTATTTTATGCACGCAAGCGCACCGCAGAGCACTGAAAAAAAAGACCACCTAACATCATATACATTTGTTCAGTCATGCTCGAGCTTTGGGATTCGTGAAACCATATGTCTTTCATAAATCCAAAATACGAAAGTATTGTTAACGGAATTAACAAAAATTTTTAGCAGCTGGAGAAAGAGTGAGGCGAGCACGAAGTTTGCGCTTATAAAAACTTTAATTCGAAAAACGTTAATATCGTAAAATGAAGCAAATGACAGAATACTCGTCGAAGATAATTCGAATAAACAGTCACAATAACCATTTTAATTACGCAGTGCAAGTGACTCACGTTCTTCTGCAAATAATCGGCGCGTGGCCAATTCCAAAGTTCGCTTCCAGTAGTAGAAAAAATTGCGATTTGCTTACAAATTGTTCTTTGTTATTTCTTGTTCGCATTTATATTTATTTTGGGTTTTCTATTAGTATTTTTAAAGAAGCGCAATTTTAAATAAAAAATAATGCTGGGACTGCTGCTAAACAATGGGGTGTGCGGCATAAAATATAGTCTGCTCGCGTATCATGCGAAGAAGATTTAGGCTTGTACAGAGCAGGTGCGACACGGTTGAAAAAATACGGTGTATGAGAGCGCTGGCGTACCTGAGCTATTTCATCATCGCCGGTATATGAGATCGTCTTCATCCTGCAATTCTTCGCAGTGTTTCTCACTTACTCGGTGACGTGCGGCGCAGTATTCTTCATCATGCACAACCGTTTGTGGACAACTAAGTTTAATTGGCAAACTGCAGCGTCTCAATGATATGTCGGGACCTGAGAACAGAACCGTCTCAATATTGCTGGCTGATATCGTGGAACATCAGATAAAAGAAAAGAAGTAAGTAAAATTCATATGTAAATGATATATTCTATTAATTTTTAATAAATTTTAATAATTATGAGACATAATAATAGATGTAATGCACATAATAATGGATCCATTGAGATTTTTCAAAAACCAGGCTTTCATTGAAAAATTTTTTGTACAAAAGTTTTAAAAGGGACATAAGATAATGCCATTAATTTGAATTTTAATAATCGTTTGAAGGTTACGTGAAGACTCGTAGTTCAGGAAGTTACCATCGCAAAAGAGATTTAACTAGTGTTTCGAAAACGCCTTGACCTCAGCTACAAGGTTATGCAATGAAAAATGTTCATTTAAAAAATTGAAGGTGATCTTCACGTGACCTTCAAACGACTAAACGAGAAATCTAAATGGATCATTTAAAATGGGCCATTCTGTATATAAACGGCTCACGAGCCATCGCAGTTTGTCGATGCAAAATAAATTTTATTTTTTATATACAAATATTATTCATATTTTTCATATTTTATTTTTCGAATCATTCTCGTCTAATTAAACGAATAATTTCTATATGAAAAATAAAACTTATTTTGCACCGACAATCAGCGATGATTCTGGAACCGTTTATTTATCATATACAACCTCTATTTGATTTTAAAATAATTTATTTTTAGCATTTAATTTATTAAAAACTTGGTATCATAATACTCTATATATTATATAAAAATATTAATTGTTTATTTAATGAATCATTCATTTATTGTTTCTTGAAACAAGTAGAAGAAGCTATGCAAAATGGTTAGTGAAAATAGTGGCATGTACTGCATTTTTATATCTTACGGAATATTATATCATTATAATAATTTATGGCATGGTTTATTAATAACAAAATATTTCCCAGAAAATTATAATTTAAGTAATAGCTTTCTTTCCGCGTATTTTAAAAAAAAGTTAAATCTTCAAATTTTATTTTAAGATAAAAATTTAAGATTTTAGAATTTAGAAGTTTAAAATTGTATTTCAATTTTTTGGGATACAAAATTTATTGTAAAAAAGTTTAAATTTACTTACTCTTTTATAATTATATTTTTATTATTGCTCGCAAATATTAATTAACCAAGACACTTTCATAGCAACATAACGGGCTTTTTAATTATTTACAATAAATTGCAATAACTCAATCATGTTTTCCTTATGTGGTATAATACACATTACAAAGCACACATGACGTTACTCTTTTATTTCGTAAACTAAGACTGTAAAGAATCGTATCGTAGCATTCGTTTCTCTTGTTTGTCAACGTTGCCTTTATACTGTAATTTAACATGCTAAATTCGCAACTCTCATGCGCCCTATTATTACGCGCAGTTGTTTTATGCACGCAAGCGCACCACAGACTATTTCTCAGAAAGAAACCACCTAACATCATATGCATTTGTTCAGTCATGCTCGAACGACTGTTTTCATACGAACATCTGTCATTCATAAGTTGGGAATATAAAAATATTGCAATCAAATATTAACGAAAGTATTTAGCAGCTAGAAAAAGAGTGAGGCGAGCACAAAGTTTGCGATCACATCGCATGTAAAACTTTTAACTTAAAAACCGTTAATACAGCAAAATGAAGCAAATCGTGGAATACTCACCAAAAATGATTCAAACTAATAGTCAGAAAAACTATTTCAACCACGCAGTGCAAGTAACTCACGTTATTCTACAAGTGATCGGCGCGTGGCCGATTCCCAAGCTTGCTTCCAAAGCAGAAAGAATTGCGATTCGCTTACAGAATGTTCTTTGCTATTTTTTGTTTGCGTTTATTCTTGTGCCGGGTCTTTTATTGGTATTCTTAAAGGAGCGCGATTTTAAACGCAGAGTAAGAATGCTGGGACCGCTTTTAAACTGTGGGATGGGTAGCATAAAATATAGTTTGCTCGTGTATCACTCGAAAGAAATTCGAGATTGTATAAAGCAGGTACGGCAGGATTGGAAAAACACAATGGATAAAAATGATCAGAAAGTAATGCTGTCTAAGGCGAGCATTGGTCGAAAGTTTGCGGTTTTTTCTGCCGCTTTCATGTATGTCGGAGGGCTGTCTTACCGAACTATCGTGCCGCTCTCAAAAGGACGAATGCTGACACCGATGAACACTACGGTGAGAGCGCTGGCATGCCCGAGCTATTTTATCAAATTTGACGAGCAGGCCTCGCCGGCGTATGAGATCGTCTTCACCCTGCAATTCTTCGCAGGGTTTCTCACTTACTCGGTGACGTGCGGCGCGGCCGGCTTAGCTGCGTTCTTTATTATGCACGTTTGCGGACAGCTGAGTATTTTAATTGGTAAACTGCAGCATCTAAATGATATGAAGCCTGAAGATCGAGCAGTTGCGATATTGTTGGCTGATATCGTGGAACATCAGATAAAAGTAAAGAAGTGAGTAAAACTCACATGTAAATGACATGATTATTGATTATTATTTTTATTAAGCTTTAGTAATCACGAAACGTAATAGACATAATAAAATTAGTCTATTCATGTAACTGTGAAAACCTTTTAACTATAATTATTATAAAAAAATGTGTTGTGAGAAAACTTAAATTAGTATTATAAAATTTTGAATACTTGATTAAAATAATTTATTATTAGCAAAGAATTTTTTAAAAACTTGATATGACAATATTTTATATATTGTGTTAAAATATTACAATTTTTGACTCAAATTATTTATTTATAGTTTTTTGAAACAAGTAGAAGAAGCTATGCAATATATATGGTTAGTAGAAATAGTGGGATCTACTGTACTTTTATGTCTTACGGGATACTACGTTATTATGGTAATCGCGATGAATACTTTTAATAAATATTTATGACAAAACTTTTATTTGTTCACAACTAATTTTATAGTTAAATAAATTTTTACATAAAAATTTCTCAAACTAATTTGTGAAACTGATATTTGTCAATTAATACTCTGTATACTTTGTGTGTAATTGTGTTAAACTTATAGGAATGGGAACGTAGCGATTCTACAGCTATGTTAACTATGTTTGTAATACTCACATCTTTCACTTTTTCCATTTTTACTATTTGTTATGTTGGTCAACTTTTAACAGATCAGGTATTAAGTGATGACATTTACATTAATTGTAAAAATTTGATGATGTTTTCCTTTTTTGTATATGAACAATATTCAAAAATACATATTTATATAATCTGTACTTCATGACAGAGTATAAAAGTTGGATTGATGACATCCATGACAGATTGGCATCGTCTTCCGCATAAAAGAGCTCGTACTTTAATTTTGATAATAGCAATTTCCAATATTCCAGCAAAAATTTCTGCTGGCAAAATGATCGAAATGTCTCTACCCACGTTCGGTAACGTGAGTATAGAAATTCACCATTTGTATTTGCCAGTAATAAATTACACATATGCTTTATTTCGTAGATTATCAAAACGTCAATGGCATACTTTAATTTACTCCGGAAATTTATTACGTGATTTTGTCCTTTCGATGAACTACCTCGATGAAATACCTTTCAGGGTTTCATTGACACAATAATACACATGTATTGATCTATAATTCACACTATTTTGAATATGTAATAAACGATTAAAAACAAATCAATTCTGTTTTAAATAAAAAATTTTTTTATTAATAATTAAATATTTCCTAGAAAGTTGTAAGTTAAATTATAGTCTCTGTGAAAATGTTTATTTTCTCTGATCGTCGATTCAATGTCTTTTCAACCAATCATTTCTAATTAGATAAAACATTCCTCTCTGTTGCCTTATTTGTGTACTTTAAAATTTTATATTCTATTTTAATGTATAAAGTATGAATAAAATAAACAAGATGTATGATATATATATATATATATATATATATGTATGTATGTATGTATAAGTATTTATTTATAAACAGATTTGAGAAAAAAGAATAATTAGATAATTTGTTGTACTTACATATTAAAATATGTTTATGCTTCGACCTTTAAGTCGCGTCAGCAACCTTTTTTCCAAACAAAAAGTACGGCTTGCGGTGAAAGGAAAGGAAAGAAGATCGATATGATATGAAACGTTCTTTTTAATAAAACAATGGATGTTGACCGCAAAAGAAAATAAATCACTTTCACAGAAATTAATCAATTTCACAAAACTAAATCAATTTTATAAAGATCTAGATGACAAGGACTTTTTAGTTGACAAAAGCACTTTTAAACGATAAGAACACTTTTACTTCACAAAGCTAGTATTGAATCACGCAAGCACACGAACGTATCGTTAATATTAATATTAATATTTTTACATAAATTTTGCTTCTATTGATTGTCTAATGATGTCTTTTTCGCAAATTTGTAACTTGTATCATAATATAAAACAGAATTTAAGATTAAACAAAAAAACAATTTACGTCGAACAGACGTCAATTTGACGTCTTTTCAACCAGTCATTTTATAATTAATATAAACATTTATATAATAGTTATATATACATTCCTTTATATATAATTGTGGTACAGTTATATATAATTGTGGTATATTAGCTATGAAATGATTGGATGCAAAAACGTCGAATCGACGTCTATTCGATGTCAATCTTTTTTCGTTTTTATTCTCAAATTCCGTTTTATATTATGATACAAGTTACAAATTTGCGAAAAAGACATCATTACAATCAATAAAAATTAAACAAAATTTTTAACTAGTTCAAAAGAGGTTTAATTTGGATATCAATTTCAACCATAGACGGCATAGACGTCTAATAGCCGCCTTTCCAACCTGTCGTTTCTCACTGGGTATAAAAAACACATATATGTCCCGATATGTGTGCTTAAATTCGTATGTTAAGGTATTCCTATTGTCGAGTGTACGTAACTCGTATATAGATTATCAAAATAATCGTCTAATAAGTCACTAATAGACGTTATTTAAACAACTAATAGACGTTTAAATAAAATCACTAATAGACGTCTTATAGAGGTCTAATTTGCAGGATACAAAAACGTCTAATCGACCACATTTTAGACGTCTATATCAATCGGTCTCTTTGATTGAACAGTCGTCGATTCAACGTCCTCTCAACCAATCGTTTCTCACTGGGTGCACGCAAGCGCACCACAGATTACACCTGAAAAAGAGACCACCTAACATTATATATATCTATTCATATTCAAACTTCTAGTTTCATACGAACATCATTCACAAGTCTAAAAGCAAAATTAGCAAAAGTTTTTAGGAGCTAGAAAAAGAGCACGGCAAGCACGAAGTTTGCGATCAAATACATCGCAAAACTACGGAGTGAAACTTTCAACTTAAAAAAACGTTATTATCGTGAAATGAAACCAATCGCGGCACACTGGTCAAAGAGGCTTCAAATAAACAGTCACAAAAACGATTTTAATTATGCGGCGCGAGTGGTTCGCGTTATTCTGCGAATAATCGGCGCGTGGCCAATTTCTAAGTTTGCTTCCAAAGCAGAAAAAATTGCGGTTTGCTTACAAAATGTTCTTTGCTATTTTTTGTTTGCGTTTATTCTTGTGCCAGGTCTTTTATTGGTATTTCTAAAAGAGCGCGATTTTAAACGCAAAGTAAGAATGCTGGCACCGCTTTTAAATTGTGGAATGGGTACCTTAAAATATAGTCTGCTCGTGTATCACGCGAAGGAGATTCAAGACTGTATAGAGCAGGTACGGCAGGATTGGAAAAACGCAGAAAATAAGAATGATCGAAAGATGATGCTGTCTAAGGCGAGCATTGGCCGAAAATTTGCCATTTTCTCTGCCTCTATTATGTATATCGGAGGGATGTCTTACCGAACTATCGTACCACTCTCAAAAGGACGGATGCTGACACCGATGAACACTACAGTGAGAGCGCTGGCGTGCCCGAGTTATTTTATCAGAATTGACGAACAGGCCTCGCCGGCGTATGAGATCATCTTCACCCTGCAATTCTTCGCAGGGTTTTTCACTTACTCGGTGACGTGCGGCGCAGCCGGTTTAGCTGCATTCTTTATCATGCATGTTTGCGGACAATTGAGTATTTTAGTTTCTAAACTGCAGCGTCTTAATGATATGGAGCCTGAAGATCGTGCAATTGCGACATTGTTGGCTGATATCGTGGAACATCAGATAAAAGTTAAGAAGTGAGTAATATTCATTTGTAAATGACATAATCTATTGATTTTTATTAAGCTTTAATTATTAGGAAACGTAATAGACATAATAAAATTAGTCTATTCATATAATTGTGGAAATCTTTTAACTATAGTTATTATATAAAAAATATATTCTGAGAAAAATTTAAATTAATATTATAAAATTTTAAATAATACTTGATTCAAATAATTTATTATTAGCAAATAATTTTTTAAAAATTTGATATGATAATATTCTATATATTATGTTAAAATATTACAGTTTTTAAGAATCATTCATTTGTAGTTTTTCGAAACAAATAGAAGAAGTTATGCAATATATATGGTTGGTGGAAATAGTGGGATCTACTGTACTTTTATGTCTTTCGGGATACTACATTATTATGGTAATCGTAATGAATACTTTTAGCAAATATTTATGACAAACTTTTTATTTGTTTATAACTTATTTTATGGTTGAATTAATTTTTGCATAGAAATTTCTCAAACTAATTTGTCAAATTAATATATGTCAATTAGTACTCTATATACGCATTGTAATCGTGTAAAACTTATAGGAATGGGAACGTAGTGATTCTACAGCTTCGTTAACTATGTTTGTGATGCTCACATCTTTCACTTTTTCCATTTTTACTTTTTGTTACGTTGGTCAACTTTTAACGGATCAGGTATTGAGTAGTGATGTTTACATTAATTGTAAAAATTGTATAAGTTTTATGATAGTGTTTTCACACATAAATATTCAAAACTATATATATTTATATATATAATCTGTTAATCATCAACAGAGTATCAAAATTGGATTGATGATATCTACGACAAATTGGTATCGTTTTCCGCATAAAAGAGCTCGTACTTTAATAATCATAATTGCAATTTCTAATATTCCGGCCAAAATTTCTGCAGGCAAAATGATCGAAATGTCTCTAGTTACGTTCGGTAACGTGAGTATAGAAATTCACTATTTCTATTTGCCGGTAATAAATTATATATTGCACAACCGCAAGAAAAGTGATACAAGTCAAAAATATCAAATTGTTCAGGAGAGAGAAAAGAAGGAATTGCGTTAATAATAACGTTTGCTATTAATAATTATAAATTGATTTTTATCTCAAATCCTGGCGTAAATTATAAATCGTCTGAAGCAAGCTTGATTTTGCGGAAAATAATTTCACATGTTCCATCTTGGTTCAACAATAATTTTAAAATTAATTATTTGCGGCAGTATTAAACATAGCGGACTCACGCGGAAAGTATTTGAATTCAACTTTTATCATTTTTTTTTATTGAAGACCGATGTATCTAAAACACATATATATATATAATCCACACACAATAATCCACACATAAAACAAAATTCGAAAAATTTCGACTAGTCACTTTTCTTGCGGGTGTACGATATATGCTTTATTTTATTTTGTAGATCGTCAAAACATCATTGGCATACTTCAATTTACTCCGGAAATTTACATGATTTGTACTTTTATTGAACGAATATCTTTCTGGATTAATTAACATAACAATATATTAGTGCATTCATCTGTAATTGATACTATTTTTAAAATATAGTGCGCAATTAAAAGACAAATCATTTCTATCTTGATTTTAAAATGATCTTTTTATAAATAATAAAATATTTCTTCAAAAATTGTAAGCTACTAGGTGCGCAATTAAGTTTCCGGGTTTTTTTTATCAATGCAAAATGGAAAATTTCAAGAGAAATACAAAAAACGGTTTATTCAAAGTATCGTCCCTCGCTAGCTACACATTTTTGCCATCTCTCTGGCAATACATGAATACCGCGACGATAAAACGACGCGTCTTTGCATCGAAACCATTTATCCAATCAGTTTTGCACTTCTTCGAAATTGGCCAAGTGTAGCCCAGCTAAGCCATGTGCCATCGACCGGAACAAGTGATAATTGGAAGGGGCCAGGTCTGGTGAATACAGCGGGTGCGGTAGCAGATCCCATTTCAGCGTTTTGATGGTGTCCTGGACGATGGAAGTGCGATGGCACGGAACGTTGTCGTGCTGCATATCACTCGTTCGTGTCTCGTGTCCCATTCTGGCCGTTTTTCGAGCAATGCATGGTTCAAATTTATCAGTTGTTGTTGTCTTGTGTTTGCGTATCATTTTCATCCAATAACGCTTGCAGATCGGCGTCCTCAAATGTTTTTGGTCTTCCGGAGCGCTCCTTGTCCTCAGTGTCGAAATCGCCATTTCTAAAGCGTTTAAACCAATCTTCACAAGTAGTTTTCGATTGTGCATGTTCGCCGTAGGCTTTCTCAAGCAAACGGCGTGCTTCAGCTGCATTTTCTTTCAAGTTGAAGCAGAAAAGCAAAGCTTCCCGCAAATGCTGTTTATTTGGCACAAAACTCGACATCTTTATTGTTAGAAAAAATATTTTTGCGTTGCAATATGTGTTGGTATTATGACTGGTTATTGTTGACAGATGTCCAAGTTAATAAAAAAACACAACTTTAGACATGTATATCGACTACATGTATCGTTAGCGCCATTCATGTGTGAAACCCGGAAACTTAGTTGCGCACCTAGTAAGTTGTAATTTTCTTTTTCTGGCATTTTGCAAAAGATTTTATTCTTTCAATCTGTTTTTAAGACTAGATCGTAGCTTGTTTATTCAAAATTTACTGTAAACAAACTTTTAAATTTATAAAACATTGAGATAAATACATCAATGCAGTAAGTAAGTGAAAAAATATACTAAGAAGTTACAATTGTATTTAAAAAATTTTTTTAAATAATTTTTTTAATGTAATTTTTATATGTAACTTCTTTAACGACAACTTTCGATTAATTCATATGTTACTATTATTTTATTACACAAATGATCCGATCCATGACCTATGGTTATACGCAAGGTGATTTGCCCGTACTTTTGTAAAAGTTTCGAAAACTGTTCCACGTAAATCGATTCTACCCTGTAATTATCTTCGACCGACAAAAAATCGCACACAGTTTCGCGTAAACTCTCGTACCGAACTTTTAACTGCGCCGTGGACAAATCACCATGGAAAAGATGATTCACCCACGCAGACGCAACAGCGTGCATAATGTAGCTGCCAAGTTTTTTCGTCGGTCAGTCGTGATCGCGCAACCGTTTCGCGAACAAGTGATCGAAAAAATTCGTTTAGCCTCGTTTGTCCAAGTAAATGCCATGATCGAGCGTATGAATTTATACAATTCCAATTATAAAGCTGATATAAAATACACCGTACAAGTACACAAAGTAATCATGGGATTTATCGGTGTATGGCCGATGCTAGAGAAACAACCCCGGTGCCAGAAGAGATTACTCGAAGGGCTTCTCAGAGCTGCCTGTTGCTTCCTGTTGTCCTTTAATCTAATACCGTGGGCGTTATACATGTTTGTAATCGTGGACACGTTTAGTAGAAGACTCAGGATGCTTGGCGCACTTTGTTTTTACAGTATGGTGCCAGCCATGTACTGCACATTGATGTTGCGACAAGATCGCATTAGAGAATGCGTGAAACACGTGGAGGAAGACTGGCGAAATGTCAGAAATGTGAACGATCGTAAGATTATGTTGGATAAAGCAAGAAGCGGGCGTTTTATTCTCATCTGCACTATATTGTTCCTGTTTACCAGCGGTTTCACTTATCGTCTCATTCAGCCGATTGTTCGCGGCAAAATTGTCGTTAACGAAAACGTTACGATCAGACCGTTGGTGCAGGGTAATTACTATATCTTCTTCGATCCACAGCACAGTCCTGCCTATGAGATCATATTCTCGTTGCATCTATTGACCGGTATCGTAATATATATTGTGACGGCCAGTGTTTGCGGGGTCACCGCGTTATTCACCATGCACGCTTGCGGACAACTTGAAATGCTGGTGACTTGGTTGGAAAATTTAGCAAACGAAAATCATTGGTCCAAGGAATATTCCACTCATGCAAGACTGGCGCTGATCATCGCACATCACGTAAGGGTGCGTAGGTGAGTAGCTAAAAATATTATTCATTTTTTATAAATTTGTTACTAAATTTTTTTTGCTTGCAATTTGCTTCATACTACATAAATATTACATTAAAATTGGTTGATTATTGGTAATTAATTAGAACATTTTAATGCTCTTTAAAATCAGCTTCGTAAGAGTCGTATTATTAAATATTAAATTTAAAAAAATTGAAATATTTGTTTTTTACAAGTAATCTATTGATTTATATGATTTGTAAATAATGATTTATATGATTTTGTAAATAAAATTTTTAGTTTGATATTGCAAATTATAACAATTATTATCCAATTTTAGATTTTTAAATCAGATACAAGATGTTGTAGGAGAAATGTGTTTTATTGAATTTATTGGAAGCACTTTAATATTATGTCTCTTAGGATATTATGTAATAACGGTATGAGAAAATAATTCATTATTAATCAATTTGTTATATTACATACCAATTTCATGATTCATATATTAAATTTTTTTAAAAAAAGAGTAATAATATAAACTTTCTTGTACTCTTTAATATATAATTACATATGCATAATAATATTTTAGGGATGGGAACGAAATGATGCACTTTCCTTTTTAACATATGCCATAATGCTCGTATCTTTTACTTTCAATATTTTTATATTGTGTTACATTGGAGAAGTTTTAAGTACTCAGGTATCTAATAATGTAGTAAAAATATGCATGCGTATATAAAAAAAATAAATATTAATTTTTTTTATATATTATATACAGGGTGTCCTTAAAATTTTGACAAAGCACTCGCATGCAGATAGAACGGATTAAACTGAATCGAAAAGTCATGTACTATTTTGATATTTTCGCAACAGTTAACGAGTTATTTATTACTAAAAATCGTTGAATAAGCGCATATCCGTCCAGCCTACCGCCGAATGCA